CTGGCTCATGGTTAATCTAGGGGTAGATGTAGTAACATTTATCATATTTGTTCTTATATCCAAGAACAATTATAATCTTGTTGAAAACCCCCTTAGTGTAAAGGGTAGGAATGTATAAACATAGCTAAATAAACATTAGTTTTACCTTCCTCTTCAGATGTGTACAATCATAATGGGGAAAAAAAGTATACCAAATGCCACTGAAAGATTTAATTTAAGAAATATGTGCTCAGTGATTGTCAGTTTTCAGGAGGTATTTAAAAATTTTAATTCATTAAATTTTAATACAGATTTAATATAATTAAAACAAGGTGAAATTTAGAAAAATGGAACAAACAATATGCCCTTTGTGACAATGTGCTACTTTTTGTTTAATTAACACTCACTAAGTGACTCTTCCAGAATTCTAGTAAAAGATACAATGTATTTGTCCATCCAAGATAGGTATTGAGGCTGGGCATGATTGTTCATGCCTGTAATCCCAGCACTTTGAGAGGCTCAGGTGGGACAATCACTGAGGCCAGGAGTTCAAGACTAGCCTGGGCAACACAGTGAGACCCTATCTTTATTTTAAAAAAGAAAAAGTTATATATTGAATTCAACCACTAAATCTTAGCCAATATGCTAAGAACTGGGGTTTTATAAGTACCAACACAGACATAGTCTTTACTATAGTTTATAAGGAAGATAAACACATACATACACCCACAAGGCTGATTGTACCATACATGTGAGAATGATGATAGAGAGAGCCACTGGTGAACCTATAGAAAGATTATTTTACACAATGGGATGATGGAAAGAGAGTGTATTTATTAGTCCATTTCACACTGCTGATAAAGACACGCCCAAAACTGGGGAATTTACAAAAGAAAGAGGTTTAATTGGACTCACAGTTCCACATGGTTGGGAATAACTCAAAATCATGGTGGAAGGCAAGGAGTAACAAGTCACATCTTACGTGGATGGTGGCAAGCAAAAAAAAAAAGAGAGAGCATGCTTGTGCAGAGGTACTCCACCTTATAAAGCCATTAGATCTTGTAGGACTTACTCACTATTACAAAGACAGCATGGGAAAGACTTGCCCCCATGATTCAATTACCTCCCACTAGGTCCCTCCCACAACACCTGAGAATTCAAGAGAGATTTGGGTGAGGATACAGCCAAACCATAACAGATAGTAACAAAGAAAAGGTTAGAAAGGCTTTGGGAGTAAGGCTGAAGGTAAATCTTACATAGGAGTTACACAATTAAAGGGCAGAAATAGGGACTACAAGTAGAAAGGGATTCCAGGAAGAGATGACATGAGTAAAGAAAGAGATATGACAGATAGCATGGGATATGAGGTATTTGCTAGCAACTGGGTTTTGATGAACATAGTGTTAGGAAGTGATGAGAGAGAAGGTGAAAGACAGGCAGAGGAGCCACATGTACATTCCAAGAGGTTGGGCTTTATCCTGTATGTGCCAACGAGACACTAAAGGATCTAATTAGGGTACTAAAGTGGTTAGAATTGTATTTTAATTATATCATCATAACTGTCTATTAGATGAAGACACTTTAAATAACTTAGTGGTATTAAGAAGATAAAAGAGAAAAATAATTTGAGAAATACTTGAGAGACAAAATCGATATATATGTAACAATTGATTAGAAGTGGTTAGTAAAGTTTAGAGAAGTTTTTGGGGAAAATTCTGGCTTCTAGCTAAGTGGATTACAGTGCCACCAATCAAGACAAAGAACATACATGAATATATCTGGGATGAAAATCAGTTTGTTTTTGAAACTGTTGAATTTAGAATGTCATGTGGTAACCAGAGGGAAATGTCCAGTAGCTAGCCGGATTTGTGAGTCTGTAGCTGAGGACAGACATGTATGTGGTAACGAGAGTTTGGGGATTTTTAATATGTGGGTAATCACTGAAAACATTTAAAAAGATGAGATTATCCAGTAGAGGTTTGCCAAGTAAAGCATCCTGGAGAACATGAACATTTCAGGGTTGTGTAGAAAAGATGTCATGAAAGAGGCAAATACTTCCAAAAGTCTGAGAACCAGAAGCGTATGATGTCAGGGAACAGAGAGCCAGGGAGAGTACAATAAAGTCTGAATTGTTTCCACTGAATTTGGAAATCCAAAGGTCACTGGAGAACTATGTCAAAATCATTTCCACAGACAAATAAGAGAGCAAGCCAGATTATAAATAGCTGCGAAATGAACAGGAGATTAAATACAATAATATTCTTGATAGGGAAGAAGAGAAGAAATAAGACGAAATATTGACTGTACGGAGAAGTAGATATAATAGATGAATTAATTTCGATGGGAGAGATAAGCCTTTGGCTAAGAGGACGAAAACAGAAAAGAAAAAAAAAAAAAGGAACAAGTTGAAGATATAGGAGATAGACATTTCAAAGGAATAGAAGTGACAGAAGGACTGCCAGGACAAAAGAGGAGGGACCTAAGAGGAAGCATGTTCTCAATCCACAAATGCAGCATCTGTCTGCCCAGGGCCCAAAGGTTGGCACAATATGCTGCTACAGGGTGGTTAGTTGAAATGGAATCAACTAGACCAGATTGTCAAGTCCAACTTTCACATACTGCCAGAATGGGTGTGTATGTTTTGTATTTGACAAATACAATCTTGAAATTAAGAATGAACTGAACTTTCTCTCATGATCTACATTCAAGGAAATGTTTAAGCACGTATGTTTTCACCTGACAGACCAACTCCCTCTTTTCTGTGCTGTTTGAATTTTCATAAATAATTTTCACAATCAGGAAATATATTGTGTGTTGTTTTGTTTTGTTTTGAGACAGAGTCTTACTCCTCTGTCGCCCAGGCTGGAGTGCAGTGGCATGATCTTAGCTCACTACAACCTCCATCTTCCAGGCTCAGTGGATTATCCTGCCTCAGCCTCGCCAGTATCTGGATTGCAGACACATGCCACCATGCCTGGCTAATTTTTTTCAATTTTTGGTAGAGATGGAGTTTCACCATGTTGCCCAGACTGGTCTCAAATTCCTGCCTTCAAGTGATCTGCCCTCCTTGACCTCCCAAAGTGCTAAGATTACAAGTGTAAGCCAGCATCCTCAGCTAGGAAAAATATTAGGTATTTTCACTGTGACTATAACAAGGTCAATGGGCTAGGAAAGTTAAAGGAAAACAGCTGACTAAATTCAATGAGTGAGAAATGAATGGGGTCTTTTGTTTTGTTGTTTGTTGTTTTTGTAGCATTAGTCCAGAAATCATTATCCTCAGAAGGTAATATACATTTAATCAGAAAAAAAGATATACAAACATTGAAAACAAACTAATTTTATATATTCATGAGAAGTAACAGACTTATTTTTAAAATGCTCTATAATTTTGCATTGTTTATGTTTTAGGGTCTGTAGACCAACCCATTTCTACTAGTCCTATTTCTCTAGGATTTTACATTCATCATAGGATAATTATGAAAGGAAGAAATACTGAAAAGGTCAGACAAGAAAAAGTAAAAAATAGATTAGCAAAACTTTTTTTTTCACTGCTTAAGTAGCTATTCATTACACAAGTGTTTGAATTAAGAATATAGGTGTGCGGTACAAATCCATAATTAATATTTAGGAAGAGGTTTCAAAACAACATACCTTGTTCTATTTGTGATATTCTTCCATACCATTAATATTACATATTTACTTCCTACAAATCTCCATTATTCTTATATGGAGCTATGTACTAGATGTGAAATAGAGGTAATAGGAGGAAACATCCTAATCATAACAACATGGATTGGCAAAACTTTTGATTATTTTTATATATTTGTGAGTATAGAGCACTGAGTTGCTGCCAAATAAAGTTTTTAAAGTGAATGCCCATGACTTGAAAAATTATTTTTTGTATTGAGTCATTGTAAAATAATATTTAGTGGCCCTGTTACTGTGAACTATATGCAAAATTACACTTCCAATATTTTTTTTTAACTATTCCTGGGCATTTATTTTGCCCCATTTATTTGAAGATAATTTTAGTGAATTTTTTAAAAGTTATGGGTTTTGCAGATTAAAGTAATATGTTAATTACTATGTATTGATTTTTAAAATCTTGAGTATTCTCATCTAAAAGCATTGCCTACATTTCCTAGATTTTATAACATTTATTGAAATTTTAGTCTCCTTCATGAAGGCCTAATACATTTCTTACTAAATGTATTTTTAAATCCTAAAGTTGTCTCCATTGTGCATAGATTTTTTTTTTTTTTACTCTTTCATTTTCCATGACTATTGGATATAATATTGTTTGGCAGGAGCAGAAAATAAATTTAATAAATGCATTCATAAATATATGCATTTTAAATGAGAAAATTGCATACTATTTGAGAAAGAGGATACAATAATTGCAAAGATCCTGAGATAGGAGAGTAGTCTTGAAGTTTAAGAAACAGAAAGACACAAAAGAGCATAACAAAAAGAGCATAAAGAGAATAACAGTGGAATGGGAGATGAGGTCAGAGATACCAGATCATATAGGTCATTGTGAGGACTTTGGCTTCTACTCTGAAAAGACTGATGATAGAATAAAAGCAAGCAAGTCAGCTGTTTTTTTCAGAGATATCTGAAGAAAACTCATCATGATGCAGTCAAATATGCAAATACTCCTATCCACCTATGCTCTGTGGGAAGGATCTGTGCATGCTTCAGTTTCTTCTTGGCTTCAGTATGTGAATCCTAGCTTTCAGGGTCTCATCCAGTCTGAATCCATGGTTCTGCATCAGTTGCTCACACCATAGCCACCATAGAACACAGTGCCTCACTTGCACACAGACACCCATGGACATTGACATCTGCTTTACTTAGGACTAGCAGACATGTAGGAGTTAGTGATGAAAGGCAGGGTGACCTTGCAGTCACCACCTTTCTAAAGCCTCCTGCTACAGAAACCAAAACTACACACACACACACACACACACACACACACACACACACACACAAAGTATAGAAGCAGAGACATATATACATACACCTTGATTTAATTCCACAGTACTCTCTTCATTTCCACCTTCTCATATCTGAAAGAAAACAATAAAATAAAATCACCAATTGAAATAAAGATATTTCTGTATTCCAACAGATAACATTTACAACAAGTATTTATTTCATTTTTTTTTTTACAATGAACTTTGTGTTACAGATCATATTGTTCAATAAACAACAGTTCATGTAGACAAATGGCAAAATAGCAATCCCAAAAGTCTTGGCTGGGTATAAAGCTGTATTTGGGCTCTTCATAAAGTTATCCTTGATTGTGGATTCATACTTGCTTGAAACAAGAAGCATATATATAATTTTAAAAATCAACAACATTTTTTCAGCACCTAATATTTACTATGTATTGTGCTAAACTCTCCATACGTATGGTTATCTCAATCTTCAACTGAGTGTAGTAAACATTACTGATATTTTACTATTACAGAAGAGGACATATACAGGGACACACACATGTCAAGGGACACAGCTGGTCTTGTCTGACTCCAAATCCTGGGGACCTAACATCTACTCTCTCTTTACAGAACCACATAAAGAGTGAAAGTATCCAAACTAAAGAGTATAAAGCCTTTGCAAAGATATAAATCTGTGCTACAAAATCTCCAGTTCCAGTTGACCTGTTGAGCAGTTCAAGATCTGTTTTAGTCAGCCTCATATGGGTTTCAGCAGAGAGGGTTGTGCAGGAATAGCTGTCTATTCTAACCTGATGGTGCAGGCCAAAAATGACAATTTTCGCTCCAGGTCACTCTGTCCCTTAAAGATGTGGCTTCTAAACTGAGGACATTAACTGAAACCTCTGCCTTCTGGTCTGTCTCCTGAACACCAAAGTGTACTTTGATATAATGAAATGTGTTATACTAATTTCAACTATTCATATAAAAGAGGGAAAAAGAGAAAGAGAGTAAATATATTGTACCCAACCTCTCAAATGTAAAATATCATGATTGATATAACTTATCTAAACCACCATAACCATTTGTGGACAAGCTCTTTTCATGATTACGGTATTGGGTATGATCTCTTGCACTAAAAACTGAACCCCTCCATTCTTCCCTTCTCTGGTTAAACTGCTGAAGGCTGGGTAAGAATCATGCAGTGTGGAGCCTTCTGTACAACATACTTCACAGGAGCCCTTTGTGTCTGATTGAGGTAGCCTTTTAAAGCTTCTGAAGAGTTCTAATTGTTAGAAAGTGATATATTAGATGGAAACTGTTGTCCTCACCTAAAAATGACATTCCTTGTTCTTAGCTCTGACACTTTGAGATGCAAAGTAACTTTTGAATAGTTCTTTAGGTACATGACAAGTGACCCACTCATCCTCCTTCCTGAAACTTCTTTTTTTCTGGACTAAATATGTCCATATCCCTTTTTTCAGCTGTTCTTCAAATGAAGCCATATCCACATGCTCTCTTGCTAGAATGGCCATTCTTTAAGACATTTTAACTTTTTACAACTTCATTTAAGAGAAGGCCCAAGAACTAAATGATATTCCAGACACATTCTTAGCATTGCAGAATATAGTAAAAAGATGTGACTTTCTTTTCTTGGATACTAGACATTTACTAACATATATTAAGTTGGCATCAATTTGTTTCACAGCCACATGAGATGGCTGAATCATACTGCGCATGGAGCTAATGGGCTCATTTTTAATTTTTTTGTTTATATTTATTTTGCATGAACATCAGCAGTTTCCTATTTAAGGTGGTGGTGTTCTTTTTAATGGATATCACATGATGTAGTAAAAAGGGCATTGGACTTAAAGTCAGAATGTGTAGGTTAACTTTCTACAACAACATTAATGAATTCATTTAACAACATTTGACAAACTCATGAACTTACTATTTAACCTCTCACAATTTATGTTTACACATCTTTATTTGATAAAATTTCTTTACTCATCTTGGCCTTAATAAACATTAAAGATAAGTATGTCAAAAGGAGTTTGTAAAGACCAGTGTGTGATCATTAATTATTGTTTTTAATGAACCTAAATGAAAATGTTTTCATTAATTCATCTTAATAACATGTAAGATTTACCCAACTATTTCTGTGCCAACAGACTTGCTAAGAAATAGAATTAGAAATTTAATATAAGATATACCAAATCAGTGTGTGTGTATATATACCAGATGGTTGGACTACATGGAAAAGTAATTGCAATGGTTAATGCCGAGTGTCAACTTGATTGAATTGAAGGATACAAAGTATTGATCCTGGGTGTGTCTGTGAGGGTGTTGCCAAAGGAGACTTTTGAGTCAATGGGCTGGGAAAGGCAAATGATCCCTTAATCTGGATGGGCACCATCTAATCAGCTGCCGTCGAATATAAAGCATGCAGAAAAACATGAAAAAGCTAGACTGGCTTAGACTCCCAGCCTAACATCTTTCTCTTGTGCTGTATGCTTTCTGCCATCAAATACTGGACTCCAAGTTCTTCAGTTTTGGGCCTCGACAGGCTATCCTTGCTCCCCAGCTTGCAGACGGCCCATGTCGAACCTTGTGATCATGTGAGTTAATACTTAATAAATTCCCCTTTATATATACATTATATATATATATAATATATATATATATTCATCAGTGATGAATATTCATCTTATTCATCAAGAAGTAAAGCTAATCTGCTGGGATATAACTACTACTACTACTACTACTACTACTACTACTACTGCTTCTACTATGTCTCAGGCTAGGCCACACTGAAGCCAAGGTGAGCATTTTTCCAATGTTCTCAGGAAGCTGCAACTGTGACAGGAGTACTTATTTATTGGTTCTGACCTAACAAGAATGTAAGTTCTAGGAGGGCAGAAACCCTGTCTTATTTTCCACTGAATCTCCAGCACAGTATAGAACACAGCTCAAAGTACTCAGTAAATCAGAATGGAGAGGTCATGGAAGGATTCCCAAAGTGGTTAATATTTAAAATTAATCTGGGAGAATGAATGGAATGTAACCAGATGGAGAAATGAGGATAAGGCAGTGGCAAAATATTTATGTATGAGGGTAGTATTGAAAACGATGGACCATTTGCTTTATATTGTTTACTGGCAAAGCCGCCAGCCATTACTTCAGGTGCTAGAAAGAGCCTTTCTCTCACTATATTCCTCTACCTCCACCCACAACATCAGCCTGCTCTCATTTCTCAACACATTTGTGTACTTTTTGTTGAATTTAGAGACTGACTCTAGGGTAACTAACGTTGGTGTTTAATGAACCACAAATACAGTATTACTCATAATACTATGAATAATTAATATGCCATTAAAACTAATGCAGTTAGGCCTCATTAGTAGAGACCTATAGACATCTTATTGTATTATCTAAACATCAGACCAAATATTAGAAGGCAATGAATAAACCTAAGGAAGGTAATCTCAATGTGAGGGATCTGCAATTATAACAAATAGAAACAGCAAAAGGAAATAAGGATGTTTGGTCTTAGGAAGAAAATACTTAAGGAAAAGTTAATAGCTATTTACAGCAATTTACAGGGTTATTATATTAAGTAAGTAAGAAAGATACTCTCTTTTGGTACAAAGAATACATGTAGGTTTAGTTTAATAACAGGATTTCTAACAGTTCGGTATGTCTGACAATAAAGTGCTTTTAAAAATTATGAGTTTGTGAGAATTGGAGTTCCAATGATGATAAGTTAGCTTGGATTGCAATAATCTTTCCCTAGATAACAATAACAAACTCTGGGAAAAACATAAAATATAAAAACCATTTGAAGGCAGTGGAGAACAATCAAAAGCTGACAGAAACTGTAAGGGATCTGACTGGTAATACTGTTTGGATATTTGTCCCCTTTAAATCTCATGTTGAAATGTGATTCCCAATGTTGAAAGTAGGGCTTGGTGGGTGGTGATTGGATCATGGGGTTGGGTCCCACCTCCACATGAATGGTTTAGCACCATTTCCTTGATAAGTGTGTACTTACTCAGTTATTTCATATGAGATTTGGTTGTTTAAGAGTATGAGACGTCCCCCTTCTCTCTCTTATTCCCTTATTTATCATATGATGTGTCTGCCCCTGCTTTGGCTTTTGCCATGAGTAAAAATTACGGAGGCCTCACCAGAAGCCAAGCAGATGCAGGAACTGTATTTCCTGAACAGCCTGCAGAACTATGAGCCAATTAAAACTCTTTTCTTTATAACTTAGCCAGCCTCAGGTATGTCTTTGTAGCAACAGAAAAACATGTTGATGTAGACTAGTGGTACCAGGAGTGGAGTGTTGCTATAAAGATACTTGAAAATGTGGAAATGGCTTTGGAACTGGGTAATGGGAAGAGACTGGAAGAGTTTAGAGGGTACAGAAGAAGACAGAAAGATGAGGGAAAGTTTGGAACTTCTTAAATGGTAAAATGGTTATGATCAAAATGCTGATAGAAATATGGATAGTGAAGTCCAGACTGAGGAGGTCTCAGATGGAAATGAGGAATTTATTGGAAACAGGAGTGAAGGTAGTCCCTCTTACACCCTTGAAAAGAACTTAGCTGCAGTGTGTTCATGACTTAGGGTTCTGTGGAAGTTTGAACTCAAGAGTGATGACCTAGGATAACTGGTGGAAAAAATTTATAAGCAGCAAAGCATTCAAGATGTGGTCTGGCTGCTTTAACTGTTTATCATCATTTATTGTAGCAAATAAATGACTTAAAGTTGGAACTTAAATATAAAAGGGAAGCAAAGTATAAAATCTGGAAATTCAGAACCTGGCCATGTGGCTGAAAAGGGAAAGACATTTTCAGGAGAGAAATATAAGCAGGTTGCAGAGCAGCAGCTTGCTAGAGAGATGAGCATGACTAAAAGGGAACCAGGTGCTAATATCAAAGACAATGAGAAAAAGATCTAGAAGTCATTTGAGAAATCTCTAAGGTAGACCCTACCATCAAAGGTCCAGAGGCCTAGGCAGAAAGAATGGTTTAGTCGGGCAGGTCCATGGCCCTGATGCCCTACACAGCCTCTGGACATTGTTTCCGAAATCCTGGCCTCTCCAGCTGCCTGTAGTTCGAAGGGCCTCT